GCTCTGGGGTTTCTCAGCATGTTACAATTTTATAGCCACTGAACCCATTTATCTACTTCTGTCCACAGCATAGCTGCTGTGGTTAGACCATGGGGTCTCCAAGGGACTCTCCTTATTCATTTATGTGGCCTGGGCTCTCCTCAGGACTTCACCTTTGGCTATCCCTCCCCATTGCTCTCTCTCTCTCTTTCTCCTTCTCATTGGCTATAGCCCCCACCCCCACCCCTTTAGATCTTTGGTCCTGTCCAGGGTCCTAAAGAAGGTGGAGGCTAAAGTGACCAGCACTGATATCTGCTAAGGTTCTGCCAGTGAGACAAAATAAGGGGAACTGATTCCCTAAAGATATTCCTTGAAACATAAAGCTTGTGATTCCAGCATCCGAAACGGAATGAACTCTATGTCCCCTCCAGACTCCAATACAAATGCAACTTTTTTTTAATGTCCTTTACTTTTCACTCTTGAATAGAGATTTTTTTTCCTCCAGAATGTCTGGTTTTCCTAACTCCCAGGTCTTTCTTTTACATGAATTGTTTTCTAGTCATGTCTCTCAAATCCTAGACTTATGTAGTTGATTTTTTGAACCCACATTCAGGACTTGACATTTATCCTTATTGAAATTCAGAATTACTAGTTTTAGACCATTGTTCTAACCTCTATGTGCCTTTATAGAAACCTTGGAATAAATTCCTGAGGGAAGTGTTAAAATCTCCTTCATTTGCAATGTGAGCAGACTTTCTATGATGATTTAGAGTCAGAATCTGGAGATTGGGGCATATATTCAATAACTTCTGAAAGATTAGCCCTACCTATTTTGACTTCCAAAGAGCCCTAGATATAGGAGCAGGGTCTGATTGGTCAATGACTTATGAAGAGTACTTTTTTTATATAGGTGCAGACATAAACTTTAGATATGTTTGGCCAACAATTCAAACTTTCAAAATAAAGTAAACTCTGTGATTGAGCTTCTTGGAATTCATGTTAGAGAGAAAATTGTGTTGAATTTCATATTCTACATTCTATCAATTTTCTGGCATCTAAGGACTTGAATTTTTAAAAGGCACTAAGTTATAAGAAATGTATAATGAGGCTATTTTGTTTTCTATTCCAACTGTATCATCCAAATTAGGGAAAATGTTGGGTAGGTATTTTATTAAATCTGGGATTACAGGACTTTAGAGGTAGAAGGACCATCTTCAATCCATACTCAAAAGGAACATCCACTGTAACAAAACATACTTGACAAATAGTCATCCAGCCTTTGCTTGAAGTCCTCCAAGTAGGGGATCCCAGAACCTCTTGAGGAAGGCCATTCCACTTTTGGATAGCTCTAGTTGTTAGGAAGATTTTCCTGATATCGAGGTTAAATTTGCTTCTTTGGAACTTCCACCCAGAACTTCTGATTCTCTCCTCCAGGGGACAAAACTAATACCTCCTCCATATGGCAGCCCTTCAGATACTTGAAGATAGCTGTCGTGTGTCCCTGAGTCTTCTTTGGGCTAAACAGGGCTAAACCTAGTTTTTGCTACTGATCCCTATATGTTATAGATTCAAGGCTCTTCACCATCCTGGCTGCCCTCCTTCCTCTGAACACTGTCCATCTTATCAATGTACTTCTTGAACCCTGTTGCCCAAAACTGCAGCTGAGGTCTAATGACAGCAGAGTAGAGTGGAACTATCACTAACCTGTTCTGGAGGTATGTGGATATAATGCGCCCAAGATGGCATTAGTTTTTTAAGCTTCCACATCATACTGCTATTTCATATTGAGCTTACAGTCCACTAAAATCTCCTGATCTTCTTCAGAACAACCACTGTCTAGCCATGCCTCCCATCTAATACTTGCTGCAGTTGATTTTTTATGCCCAAGTATAAGTCTTCACATTTAAACCTTATTGAATTTCCTCTTATATTCAACCCTACTTGTAGAGATTCTTTTGGATATTGAATCAATGTCAGCCATCATTTTATCTATCCCTCCCAGCTTTGTCACCTACAGATTGGATGAGCATTCCATGTGTGTCCAAGCCATAGAGACCTAATTATTGATAAAAATTTTAAATAGTACAAGACCACAGATCTCTGGAATACTCCACTGGAGACCACTGAACGCATGGACATTGAACATTTAATGTTGAACATTGAACCATTAACAACTACTCTTTGAGTCTAGCTATCCAACCAGTTCTGAATTCATTGGATTGTATTTCTAACCCCTATCTCTCTATCTGCTCCACAAGGATATCATGAGATACTTGGTTAAAATACATATATCCAGTGGAGACAAGGGGAGGTACTTGGATGAATCACTTTCCCTCTGAGATTCGATTTCCTTGTCTGTAAAATGAGGAGGCTGGAACAGATGATCTCTAAGGTTCCTTATAGGTCTAAATTCCACCAGCTTGTGTTAGAACACAAAATAAAGCAATACAGGACTAATGTTAACTACCTCATGAGGAGGTCTGAGCCAGATAAAAAGCGTCTCAGGATATCTGGCCCACAAATGATGGAGATTGGAGAGATGACCAGCTCCTTATTTAGGATGAGATGATCAGGCAAGAACAGTGTTTGTGGTTCTGTGGTTTGAGTGCAGAGAACATGTCACCTAGAGAGGACATGCACTTCACAAGTGCCACAGGAAGGAGGCTAAAGAGTAGACTGTGAAGACAAAGGAGAAGAGAGTGACCATGCTGGGACCCATATGTGCAAACATATAACAGTTCTTTTTGTAGTGGTAAAGAATCAGAAACTAAGGGAATGCCCATCAGTTGGGAAATAGCTGAACAAATTATGGTGTATAAATGTAATGCAATCCTATTGTGCGAAAGAATGATAAAAAGGCACAGTTTCATAAAAACCTGGGAAAACTTGTATAAAGTGATACAGAGTAAACAGAGCCAGGGGGAAAAAATTATACAATAACAACAACATTGTAAAGAAAAACAACTTGGAAAGACTTAAGAAATATTTGCTACTATCTGGAGCACAGCACACTGTGGAGTTGTATTAGGTCCCCTAAGGGAGCCTCCGCTAGGATGCCTTACGTGGTAGAAAATGTTAGACTGACAATGATACCTCGGTTCTGATCCTGGCCCTGCCCCTAACTATCTGTGTGACTATAGGCAAATTACTTCTTTGCTCTGGCCTCAGTTACTTTATTTGTAGTAGAAAGGGGTTGGAGTAGATGACCTCTAAGGTATCTTCCTATTCTGAGATTCTTTAAGGACAGAGTAGGTCAGCTTTCCCTCTTCATTGTCAAAATCGTGTTCAGGGACCTACATTCCAAACTGCAAGGATACCTTGAGCAGAAGGCCTGGAAGGCAACTTCAGCTGAATCTATTCTTGCAAAAGGAACCAAAGAGGTGACATGTGTTTTAAAGCTTAGGGAAGATGGAGAGTTTAGCCTCAACTCTAACGATCCAGAGGAAGCCAAGGCAGAAGAGGAAGCCTGATGAAGAGTCTAAGAATTAGTTCCAGACAGCAAATACTGACCCTGCCCACCCCTGAATCCTCATGGAAACAACTACTATATCCAATCCACTTACCACTACATCTAAGTCTCCATTATCCAGTTTTTAGATGATCTAGGTTCTTTTGCTTTTCTTCCTCCCTCTTTCCCATTTTGTTTCTGTAGGGAACAAGAAAGGATAGGGGAAAGAACATCAGGGGAAAATGAATGGAGAGTCCATTCTGGCCAGTGTGCTTCTTACAAAATGTTCTGAGTTTGCAGCAAGAGCCACAGGATAGGAGGGAGGGTAATAAATACAAAAGAAAGACTTCATGTTGTAAAGGAGACAACATAGAAGTGGTGGTGGCCAGGGAAGGGTATTTTGGTCTAGGAAATCACAGGGATGATGAGTGGAATAATAGGGCTATCAGCTGACATGCCCTTTCCAAAAACATTAACTTGGTTGAAGTTTCCAGAGGTAGAGGTAGAGGTACTCCCAGACCAGAGTAAATTAAATCTTTCTAACTAGACATATTGAAGTTTCACCACTGAGGATAGCCTAACCCAAGTTCTCATCTCTGGAGGTCTCTTACCAAGCCAATCATCAAAGCCTTTGCAGTTTGGTTAGGTCCTTACAGAGCTTATACTACGTGAAGGTAGCCTTTAGGAACCCTGAGTCACATCCGTGGTCAGTCCTGCACTTTAGTAAAATCACTTTGGCAGCTATTTGAAGGACAGTTTGGAGTGGAGAGATACTTGAAGCAGACAGACCAATTAAGAGGCTATTGCAGTAGTCCAGGTGAAAGATGATGAAGGCCTGAGCTAAAATAGTTGCTACCTAAGTGGAGAGTTGCTATGGAGGTAGAAATGTGGCAACTGATTGGATATGTGTAATGAGTGAATGAAGCAATGAAAAGGCATTTATATTCTAGGCACTACACTGTGAGCTGGAGATGCAAAAAGTGAGATAATACCTGCCGTCAAGGAGCTTTCATTCTGTTAGAGGGAGACAACACAAATTAGGGGGTCTAGGCAGGGTATTTTGGCTTTATGTCACAGAGACGGTGAGTGGAATTACAGGTCCCCTCCAGAAGCAATGGTAAGGTTGATTTGATTATGGTTCACAGAACCAGACATGAAAAGCTGTTGGGGAAGGGGAGTACTTATGGGCCAGTAAGAGAGCACAAACAGGACTTGCCAGCTAGGTATATTGGGGACCCATCCATAAGTACAGCCCAGTCCCAGGGCAGCTCCTCCAGGTTCTGGGGTCCGGGGATCCAGATGGAGGGCGGAGCAGCAAGAAATGCCCAAAGTAAAAGAATATGGTCAGGTCTGAGCCTGGCTAAATATAGTGAGAAGATTGGTCCTTCAACCATAATTGGGAAGTTCAGAATGGATGAGTTTGGAGGGAAAAGATAATTAGTTCTGTTTTGGACACGGTAAGTTTGAGATGCCTGTAAAATGTCGCAAAACATCCTCTGTGGAGCAGCTTTCCACCTTGCCATAGCAACAGGTGCTGAGGGCATCTCACTGGCCTTCTGTTCTGTCTCCCCAGCAAACAGATGAAGCTGCACAGACAGACAGCCAACAGCTACATTCCTCAGAGAACACAGACAAGCAGCAACCCAAGAGATTACATGTCTCCAACATCCCCTTCCGGTTCAGGGATCCTGATCTACGGCAAATGTTCGGGGTGAGTGTGCTCATCCCAATCCCCTCCACTCCCCTGTCTTCCTCCTACCACCCCTCAGCCCAGCTCCCCATCCCTAATCTCCCTCCTTCTGCCATTACTTGTACTGAAAACCGGAGACTCCTTTATCAAGAAAGAGAGGAAAGGGTTCCACATGTCGACACACCAGGACATCTCCCAGCCTCCTTTTCATCCTTTCCCCCACTTCCAGGCCTGCCTCCTGTTGGATATCAGATTATATTAGCTTCGGAGGCCCTTGGAAATCCCCACAAAGATCTCCCCACCTAGCCTTTCTCTTCTCTCCCTTCTTTCTTCCTTGGAATCATGTAAAAAGCAAAACAAGGAAGCTTCATCCAACATGCCAGTCTTTGTTCCCTAAATCTCAACTTACTACACTTGCCTCAGTTTGCAACTATAGTTGTCTCTCTGTGCCTCAGTTTCCTCATCTATTTTTTAAAGGGTAATAATAAACTCGTGCTGTTACCTCAAAAAGTTCTAAGGAAATTATGATTTATGTTGTTGCTATTACTATAATCATCATCATTGTTGTGCCCACTTTTCCTCTCTTCTTGGGCCCTCCAGGTTCCCAAAAGCCTTTCCCCCTAGCTATGATTTGTACACCCTATTTCTCCAGCTGCCATTTTTCCCTAAGGCTAAGAGGACACGTGGGTTTCTGCCAGGATGACTTACCAAAAATATCTCCCTCTTCGTGCTCTTCCTCCCCTCTCCCCACCTTCCACTTCCCTCCCTCCTTCTCAAAGCAGTTCAAAGTTGGATTCTGCCCTGGTCTTCCTGGTTTCATCACCGACAAGAGGCCTTGCTCAAGGCGCTAGCTTGACAAGAGTGGGTAATATAACCCAATCAGAAAGACAGCTAACTAGGAGATTCATTCTCTAGCTTCACTTTACCCTGCTGTATGCCCTCAGATAAATGTTTTGGGTCTCTGTTCTTATAGCTGGAAAATGGTGATAATACTAACATAGTACCTGCTAATTACTGTGACTTTCAAATAAGATGGTGTCTTTAAAGTATTTTGAAAATCTTAAAGTGACATCTAAATATCAGCTATTATTACTATTATTTCTAAAGTGTTATTATTTATTACTATACTATATTATTACTATTATTACAATAGTACCATATATTATTTTTATTATTACTATTTACCTATGTACTTTACTATGTACCTTAAGCTGGATACTCCTCTGAGTGACAATTCAAATATACTGAGGGCATCAAGGTTGCTACCCTGAGGGGACTCCATTCAACCTCAAATTATAGAAGGTGGCATGGATGTTTCCTACCTGTGTGACCTTAGGCAAGTCACTTAACCTCCCAACACCTCTGTTTCCTCATCTGTAAAATAATGAGCTTGGACTAAGTAACCACTGAAGCCCCTTCTAGCTCTAGACTTGTGCTTTTAAAAAGCACTGAACTGTGGTAACAAGAAGATGTGGGTCCTAGCCCTGGTTCTGCTAGTGACTAGCAGGTCGGCCTAGGTAATCCAACCCCTGTCTCTAATATGCTGTATAAAATACAAGAATAAATTCTGTAGTAAAAAGAATAAACTTCTTCTAGGAAATAATCTGGTATCAGTCATTTACATTTTAGTATAATTGAGTAAGGGCTTTAATGCTTTGTAGCTGAGATCTCCACCAACTCTTTATAGCCTAGCCCTGTTAGGCAACAGAAGCAAGGAAAAAGTGACTTGCTTGCAGATTGGTAGCACGTCCTCAAGGTAAGAGGAGTCCCTGGTGTGAATTATGCCCATACATTGCCTCCCTAATTATAGAACAAAAGGTATTATTCCTGTTAAAGGAATTATGAGAACTGGTAGCAGTTTACTAGGTAAAGAAATATTTCACTTGAAAAAAGGACTTCTCTAGGCAGCTAGGTGGCACAGTGAATAGAGTTCCGGCTTTGGAGTCAGGAGGACCTGAGTTCAAGTATAACCTTAGACACTTGACACTAACTGTGACCCTGGGCAAGTCGCTTAACCTCAATTGCCTCACCCAAAAACAAAACAAAAAAAAATGTTCAAAAAAAAGTAAAGAAAAAAGGACTTCTCCTGCCTCTTTGATCCAAACAAGGACCCAGAGGTTTCAGGGTGAACACTTCAAAGGTGTCTAGGATAAGAGGAGCCTTCTCAACTTGTTCCCTCTTCTCTCCTCTCTCTCCAGCAATTCGGAAAAATTTTAGACGTGGAGATCATTTTTAACGAACGGGGCTCCAAGGTGGGTGCTGCCCAGACGCCGCCATCATTACAGCGAACCCAGCTGTAACGGTCCCGCCAGGCTAACGTGTGAAATGTGCGTTTCCTTCCTGGAGAGCTTCGAGCCCGAGGACCCCTGAGCAACACGGGTGCTTGTATTCCCTGCTCTTCCTGACTCACACCTGTCCTGCCTCTTCCCTGCAATCCTGACCTCCTCCTCCTTCTCCTCCTCCTCCTGCAACCCCCTCCCCTCTTCCCACCTTCCCCCAAGCTGTCTGTGTTGCTGCTGCTTCTTCCTTTCTAAAAGCGACAGGACCTCTGCCTACCCCTTGGGAACACTTCCTGCTATTCTGTTTGTGTCCCCTTTTTCCCACTATACCTCTCTTCCCCCACCCTCAGTGTTGGATCAACCAGCATCTTGTCCCCACCAGCATCCTGTCCCCACATGCCTGTCCCTGGCTTTGGCTTGGGGAGCTTTTCACTGGAGGTGGGATTACCTGGGCATCATGGGCACCAGGGTTGGGAATGGGTAAGGTTCATCCACAGGGGTTGATGCACAGAGGTACCCATCTAAAGCTGGCAAGGGAAAGAGGGACTTGGAAAAGTGGGCAAGGCTGAACCTTCTGGGGTCGAGGTCGGGGAGAGGTGCCCAGCCCAGGGGGCTCTGACCAGAAGCCCTGGCTTCAGCTCCCCCAGCCCTCAGACCCTCTGCCCCTCCCTCCACTCACTCCAGCGTCTTTCCAAGATGGGGCAAGGCAGGCACCTCTAGCCCCTCACCAGGTTAATATCCCTCTGGTAGCTTCTGCCCCTCTTGTGGGCCACCCTTGGTACCAAGGAGGGGCAGCTGAGGAAGGACAAATTCTGCAGCTGCTACCCAGAGCCTGGTGCCCTTAGCCTTCCCTGTGTGTGATGGTGGCACTAAAACCAGACCTTTTTCTGCAGTTCAGCAGCCTGAGTCTCTCCTATCAACTCTCCTGACTCACCCCCCTCTCTTTCTCTCTCTTTCTCTCTCTTTCTTTCTCCCTCCCTGTCACCCTCTCCCTCTTCCCTCATCCCTGCCTCCCCTTCCTTTTTTTTTCCTTTTTTCTCATCCTGTGTCTTTCTTTCCATGTCTGTCCTTCTCCTCTGCTCACAGGGATTTGGGTTTGTAACTTTTGAAACTAGCACAGATGCTGACCGAGCACGAGAGAAGCTGAATGGGACAATCGTAGAGGGACGGAAAATAGAGGTGCTCAGATAAGTGTGATGAGGGGCAAGGATGTCCTCTCTGCGTTATACCCGTCTCTCTGTGTCCCCCCTCTCACCCCTAAGCCTCTCATCTTCCCACAGCTGCTTTTAGCAGGGCCCTGCAGACAGTAGGACTGCTGTATGTTTTTTGCCCCAGGCTCTTTCCCCCTGGTTTAAAGGGTGGCAGAGAAGGGAGAGCTTGGGAGGGACTAAGGAATCCAGTCAGTGCTCCAATTTCTTGGTTTAGTCATGGTTTCCATTCTGGTCCCATGCTCCTCCATCCCTTCTTTGGGAACAAACAGGAATGTCTCTTCCTCCTCCTTTCTATTCCCTAAAGTAAGAGAGGAGACATTCCCAGACTGGCTTCAGAAGTAGGATCCAAGGGGCAGCCTTGAGCTGGTAAAATCCCTGGAAATTTTGGCTTTGACAGGCTTGGGGATGGGGGCGAAGGTTTGGAGCTAGAGTCTTCTCAGCTGACCCTCTGATACCACCTCCCCCCAACTCCTCAGGGCCACTGACTGGTTACTGGGTGGGGCAGAATAGAATGGCATCTAAGAGGAAGGGCTGAGCTCAGCTGAACCTCTCTGCTGCCTGCTCCTCATCCCCTGCCTCTTTCACAGGCAGCCCTTCAACCTTCTGCTGAATCTCTCACCACCCAAAGGCAGTTTCCTTCTCTGGCGTTCTTCTATCCCTTCCTCCTCCTCCTTTCCCATGTCCTATAGCCTCTTACAATCTCAGTGGCTCCCTTCTTCTCCACTTCTTCCCCCCAATTTCCAATCCTTGCTGAAATGGCATCAGTGTATGGCACTGAGCACATGCATAAGCTGGCACAAGCTGTCAGAATGGGGGTGGTGGGAGAACTGCTAAAGACCGCCCATCCCACTCCCTGATTTGGGGCACAGAGAGCCGGGTCCCGGGATGCATGCTTCCTCTGTGTGTGGTGCTGGTCATTCAGATTGATTTGATTTCGTTTTCTGTACTGATGCTAAAAATAATGGGGAACATGGGAGCTGGTGACTAGACACAGTAGTAGGGGGAAGGAATTACAGGGTCTGGGCCCAGGCCAAGAAGGACCAAGCAAGGAAGGAGCAGTGAATGGATTCATTTTGTTTGAGTTAGCAGAGCCAAGTTGTTCCCATCTACTGCTCCTCCTCTTCTCAAATCCTATCCTGCTCTGCATTAGGAAGGAAACAAAGTCCCAACTAGGAAAGATCTGGTGTTGAGAAGTATTGGCCTGTGCCACTGACTGTGGATCCGCAGGCTCTTTGTCAGGCCGGCCTCCGAGGAATGTTGAGGCTCCAAGCCCCTGAGCTTGAGTCAGGGCAGCTGGAAAGGGAAAAACAGAAAGGAAAGAATGAAAGAAAGATAAAAAAGAAGATTTGTGGCTCAAAAAATTGGAGGAGTCAGGCAAGATAGAAGCCAAAAGGGAATGCTGTATAAATAAGGACTAAAAGTGCACTCGTGAAGTATGTGCTTGTGTAGGGGGAGTAGGAGGGTCAGATTTTAATTTTTCCACCTCTGCATGTTATTCTCTACTTATGCCCCCACATAATCCATCCAATAATCCTTCCTTTGTGGTAGATCACTCTGCTGTCACTCAACTTTCCCTAAAAGATGTGCTTCCCTCCTTTTTCCTAAACCCTACCTAGATTCCTTGGCCCCGTAACTCAGGCCTCTAGGAGATGTCCTCTCCAGCCTGCTGGGCAGGACCAGAACAGAACATCCAGGGCCTGGGGATCCCCCTACCCCTTTCCTTCACATCTACCACTTGTCCCCCACATGCCATTCCCCTTTCACAGCCCTTCTGGAAATGGCTTCCCTCTGGTTCTGTGGGCTCCCGAGAGACACCCCTACTCTGTCGTTCTGGTCACTGCCCACATGGGTGGGGTGGGTGCATCTCTGCATACATCCATTCCTCTATAGAGCTATTTAATGTAGAAAGCAGATGTAGATTCTGGTTGCTGATCACAGGCAGTGAAGTCTCTAGCATTGTGATGAGCAAGCAGTAATACCAAGGGAATATGGGGAGGCCTAGGGAGGGCTTTCACTTATGAGCCTATGGAAAGCCATAGCAGAGGCAGATGAATGGAATGAGGGCCGAGAAACTGTCAGAGAATCTTGCCTAAAAATGAATTTGCATAACCTGCTGTTGGAAGGGAGGTGTGGAGAGTGGGGGGAAGGAAGGGGACCCAGCTGACCCCTCAGCAGGACATTGGGACTGGAGATGAGGGGAGGAGCATAAGTATGAGGTTTTGGCTGGCCTGAAGGTCTGCACACCAGCCCCTATAGGGCTCTGCATACCAACTTGATGGCAAAGACATGTGGTACTAGGCTTTTAGTTTATTGAATTGAATTGAGTTGAGTTGTCTCTGCCATGGTATCTATGAGCTAGAAGATGGAGTAGGGAGGCTATGTGCAGGATGGAACAACTTCCAGAGCACCCAGGTCTAGGGTTTAGGTCCCAACAAGGAGCATTTGAGGAGCTAACTAACATTCAGGGAAGGGAGAGGGTTGCATGAGCCTGGGAGGAGATGACAATCTGGGAACCAGGGACTGGACAGTTTTGGCAAGAGGGTCTGGATGAATGGGATTGGGCATGGGATATTGGCACAGGCTAAAGCCTCCCCATGCCTCCTTCTGTCTCCTATTCCTGAGACTGTCTACAGCTATTCAGTCAACTCCCTGGACTTCAAGACTTCTTAGTGAAGGCAGTGGCAGCTCATGGGGTCCAAGAAGGGACCAAGGGAGGGTGCTAACGCTCAGCCCACCCTCTCTCTCTCTCTCTGGGCAGGTAAATAACGCCACAGCGCGGGTTATGACCAACAAGAAGACCACGAATCCCTACACAAATGGTAAGGCGGCAGAGAGCACGGAGGCCCAGGTAGGGGGGTGGCCATTCTGCTCTGGGTCAGCTCCAGGGAATGAGGTTGGGAAGCTACTACTACATGATTTTCATGACTATAAAACAGCAGTCTAGCCTACATTGTCTTCTGAGCTCTCCCTTTTCAGGACGGAAGAGGGTCATCAGAGGGTTCATAAGGCCTGGAAGAGGGTCATCAGAGAGTCCATAAGATCTGAGGAGAACCTGGAATCTTCTTGCCCAACACAATTTGTCTGTCCTTATGCAGACTTCAGGGCCACTGGGGATTTTCCCAAACGTGTGTAGACAGTGGACAATACTTAAATGAAATAGTATCACATGTATAAATGTATTTGAAGGGAAGTTAATCTAAGGTAAATTTCCATTTTCCATAGAATCATAAATGCATTACTACATAAGCAGTGTGACATAGTAGAAAGAGCATTGGAATTGGAGTTAAGGGATCTAGGTTCAAATTCTTATTTTGTTTCCTTGTGCGACTTGGAGGCAGCAGGTGGATAGAGTGGGTCTGGAGGTGCGTAGACCTGAGTTCAAATCTGGCTTTAAATTCTTGCTAGCTGAATGACCCTGGGCAAGTCATTTAACCTCTCTAGGTCTCCATTTTCTTACCCACAAAATGAGGGGATTAGATTAAATAACATCTGAAATCCCTTCCAGTTCTAAACCTATGATTCTATAATAGGACTATTTTATAGACTATATACATTCCCAGAAGGAGGAAGTAGATGATGAATTCTGGAAGAATAATTAAATTGACATTAAAGGTACACTATAGGAATGATAGGGGGATTTCCACTATTTGGATAGATCCTTTGTTCCCATCTGTTCTCTATATCCTCTCTGGTGTTTTGGAGATATGATTCCTTCTATCTGTAACCTATATAACCTCATTACTATAACCAAATATATGTTGTTATAAATAACAATAAATATACACAATTGTGTATATATTATATGTGATATATATTTTGTATGTACTATATAAATATATATATATATATATATATTCTTAGATTGTTCTGCAATATTATTTTGGTAACATTTTTGTCAATGTTTCTTAAAAGAAGTTGCATAAAAAAAGAAAGAAAGAAGTTGCATGTATTTAGTCATAGCAGCATAGCGAGAAAAAAGAGCTTGAGAACAAGTAGTTCAATGCCTCATTTTATAAATGAAGAAGCTGAGGTCCAAAGAGATGGACTTATTTGCCGAACATCACGTAGATATTAAGCAGAAGAGCGGGGATTAGAACCCAGGTCTTCTGACACCTTACCAACTCTCTTCCCACTGTGTCATTCTGGAGGAGAAACCATGATCACAGCACTGAACAGAATTCTGAAGATTTTGTTGTCCGTTTTCCAGATGAGAAAGTTGAGATCCAGATAAATTAAATAATTTGCTAAAGTTCATGGCAGAGCTGGAAAACCAGTACTTGGGTTTCCTGACTGCCAATCTAATACCTTTTCCACTAAAGGGTGGTTTAGGATATAGGTCAGGGTCTTTCACAGTTGAAAAGGTAGTGATTGTGTGTGTGTGTGTGTGTGTGTGTGTGTGTGTGTGTGTGTGTGTGTGTGTGTGTGTGTGTGTGTGTGTGTGTGTATGAAAGGACTAAACTTCCTGGATACAGCCCCCAAAGTGACTTATTCTTATGAGCCTGGTGAAATAAGCAATGTCTGAGCTGTCCTCTCCAGACTTCTCCCATGTGTTAAAATTAATTATCTGAAATAAAAGGAAGCTGAGGACAAAGTTATGGAGCCATCTATGATTTAATTTGCAAAGCTAGCATTTGCATGTCAAATCAGATCACCTGATTCCTCAGATGTCAAAGACTTCCCCCCATTTACCCACCTGATCTTTATAACAAAAAAGAGGAATTTTTTTAAATTAAAGAAACCTGTTTTGAATATAATTCTTTTGGACAAGGCAGGTCACCTGAGTACTTAGACTTTCTTAATTCTACCCCAGAAGTCCTTGCTTTGTTTCTGTTATATTTTTCACATACCCAGTAAGACCTGTATCCCTGAAGAGAGCATCGAGATGACAGGTTTCATGTTAGAAAAGACATTCAGATGCCACCTAGTTCAACCTATACCTGAAAGCAAATCCCCTCCACAAACGTACTCAATAGGGGATTTCCAGCTTCTACTTGAAGACCTGCATTTAGGGGGAACTCACTATCTCAAGGCAGCTAGGTGGCGCTGTGGGGTAGCTAGGTAGTGCAGTGTGCGGAGTGCTGTGTATGGAATGAGGGAGGCTTATCTTCGTAAGTTCAAATCTGTCCTCAGACACTAACTCTGTGGCCCTGGGCAAATCACTTAGCTCTTTTTGCCTCATTTTCCTTGTCTGTAAAATGGCAAACCACTCCAGTATCTTTGCCAAGAAAACTCCAAACAGGCGAGAAGAGTCAAAAACAACTGAACCTCAATGATACTGTCTCAGAAGGCAGCTCATTCCCCTTTTGGATAACTCTAATCGTTAGACAGTTTTTCCTGACATCAAATCTAAATTGGCCTCTTGGCAACTTATACCAATTGCCTCTAGTTCTTCCCTCGGAAGTCAAACAATGAATCTAATCCCTCCTCCATAGGCCTTCAAACACTTGAAGACAGCTATCATAACTCCACATACATATACAAACACCCCAAGTCTTCTATTCTTCAGGACAGAAATTCCTAGGTCCTTCCATTTATCCTTATATGGTATAGACTATAACATCCTGGGTCATGCTTCTCCGCTTACCCAGATGTTCTCTAATGCAGCACTTTTTTCCCCTTAATTCATTCATTAATTCATTTATTTGTTTGTTTGTTTGTTTATTTATTTATTGTTTTCAACATTCACTTCAAGATTTTGAATTCCAAATTTTCTCCCTATCTTGTCCCCCACCGCACCCCAGGACATTGTGCATTCTGAATACCCCTTCCCCTAGTCTGCGCTCCCTTCTATCTCTGCCCCCCCTTCTCTTATCCCCTTCCCCTTCTATTTTCCTGTAGGGCAGGATAGATTTCTATACCCCATTGCCTATATATCTTATTTCCCAGTTGCATGTGAAAACAATTTTTAACATTTGTTTTTAAAACTTTGGGTTCCAAATTTTCTCTCTTCTTCCCTCCCCACCCACTCTCATTGAGAAGGCAAGCAACTCGATACAGGGTATACATGTATAGTCATGTAAAACACTTCCATAGTAGTCATGTTGTGAAAAACTAACTATATTTCCTTTCATCCTACCCCACCCCCACCCCCGTTTATTCTATTCTCTCTTTTGACGCTGTCCCTCCTCAGAAGTGTTAGCTTCTGATTACTCCCTCCCCCAATCTGCCCTCCCCCTCTATCATCCCCCTGCTCTCTTATCCCCTTACCCCCTGTTTTCCTGTAGGGTAAGATAGATTTCCGTACCTAATTGTGTACGTTATTCCCTCCTTAAGCCAAATCCGATGAGAATAATATTCCTTCATTCCCTCTAACCTTCCACCATTTCCCCTCCAATGTAAAAGCCTTTTCTTGTCTGTTTTATGTGAGATAATTTACCCCATCCTACCTCTCCCTTTCTCCTTCTCCCAGTATAATCCTTTTTCAATCCTTAATTTTATTCTCCAGATATCACCCCTTCATTTTCAACTCAGTCTGTGCCCTCTATCCATCTATCTATCTACATATAATTTTTTCCCTCCAACTACCCTAATACTGACAAAGGTCTCATGAGTTACAAATATCAGCTTTTCATGCAGGAATTTAAACAGTTCAACCTTAATAAGTCCCTTATGATTTCTCTTTCCTGTTTACCTCTTCATGCTTCTCTTGAGTCTTGTATTTGAAAGTTGAATTTTCTATTCAGCTCTGGTCTTTTCATCAAGAATGCTTGAAAGTCCTCTATTTCACTAAATATCCATTTTTTCCCCTGAAGGATTATACTCAGTTTTGCTAGGTATGTGTTTCTTGGCTATGATCCTATCTCCTTTGATCTCTGGAATATTGTATTCCAAGCCCTATGGTCCCTTAAGGTAGAAATTGCTAAAACTTGTGTTATCCTGACTGTGTTTCCACAATACTTGAATTGTTTCTTTCTGGCTGCTTGCAATATTTTCTCCTTTACCTGGGAACTCTGGAATTTGGCTGCAATATTCCTAGGAGTTTTCCTTTGGGGAACTCTTTCAGGAAGTGATTGGTGGATTCTTTCCATTTCTATTTTGCCCTCTGGTTCTAAAATATCAGGGCAGTTTTCCTTGACAATTTCTTGAAAGATAATGTCTAGGCTCTTTTTTTGATCATGACTTTCAGATAGTCCAATAATTTTTAAATTCTCTCTCCTGGATCTATTTTCCAGGTCAGTTGTTTTTCCAATGAGATATTTCACATTTTTTCTAATTTTTCATTCTTTTGGATTTGTTTTACAATGTCTTGATTTCTCAAAGTCACTAGCTTCCAATTGCTCTATTCTAATTTTTAAGGAAGTATTTTCTTCAGTAATCTTTTGGACTTCCTTTCCATTTGGACAATTTGCTTTTTAGGGCATTCTTCTCCTCAGCTTTTTGGACCTCATTTGCCATTTGGGTTAGGCTATTTTTTAAGGTGTTATTTTCTTCAGTATTTTTTTGGGTCTCCTTTAGCAAGCTGTTGATCTGTTTTTCATGATTTTCTTGATCCTCTCATTTCTCTTCCCAGTTTTTCCTCTACTTCTCTTATTTGCTTCTCAAAATCCTTTTTGACCTCTTTCGTGGCCTGGGACTGATTTGTATTTTTCTTGGAGGCCTTGGGATGTAGGAGCTTTGACTTTGTTGTCTTCTTCTGGTTGTATGTTTTGATCTTCTTTGTCACCAAAGTAAGATTCTATGGTCTGACTTTTTTTGCGCAGTTTGTTCGTGATCCCAGCCAACTACTTGATTTTTAAACTCTTTGTTAAGGTACAGGTCTGCTTCCAATGTGGAGAATGTACTGTCCCAAGCTTTGGGGGTTTTGTGCAGCTGTTTTCAG